AAGTGAGCACAGCCGGTGAGGCCGTGGAGAAGGCAGGAGGGATGCCGATGGGAGCTTCCACCCGGTGGTGATCTGTCAGGCCGCCCCCCTGGTGCGCCTGCTGGATGGTCCCCGTCCTGACACGCCAGATGTCTGAGGATTGCTCAGGCCTCCGTGTGGTGTGTCAGGGGGCAGGGTCGGGCCCAGGGCTGCAGGTCTGGCTGCAATACAGGTTCACTAGCAGTGACAGGCTGGGTCCGTCTCCTCCGTCACAAGTCACCATTCCTTCCCTGGCTCTGTGGCGAGAGCTGAGCTACTGGGGAGCTAAGTGGACTTTCCAGCCAAAGCGCGTTGCTTGGGGAACCAGGTGTTTCAAAGGCTCAGGCACTCAGCTTAGTCCATCTCCCCGTGGAGGCAGCATCTCCACTGCAGCCTGCCTGCCTGGGGCTCAGCCACTCAGAGAATTGACCACTCACTGCCCCCAAGCCAGCCCATGGTCTCTGTCGTCAGCTGACCTCAGAGCTTTTCTTTACTCGGAACACAAGCTGGCCTCCCCATTGCCTCCCCTTAGCTGTGTCTGCCCACTAAGAAGAAATAGCCGACACATTTAGTGCTCATCACAGTCATACTGAGTCATCATTTATTCTTCAACGACAGCCCTGTAAAGTGGATAGATACTGTTGTTATCCCCATTGTACAGGTGAGGAAACAGGGGCACAGAGAGGGTAAGTAACTTGCCTACGGTCACACAGCCACAAACAGCAACATTGCTTCCATCCATGTCCACAGTGACCACAGAGATTTAAAGGTGGTGCCTGGAATCGTCCTCTAGGCCACAGGGAAACAGTCTAGGGTCCCCTCAGTTCCTCAGGGCCTGCTCCGTGTCAGCCGTGAGGCTCCAGACAGGCAGGGGCTCCCCAGTGTGGCCTGCACTCGTCCAGTGCCCATGCTGTGTTCACAGAGCCCGGGGGTGCCTTGGCACCCCCTAGACGGGGGACGTGCTTGATTCTCGAGGTGTGTCCTGAGCCACGGTGAGCCAGGGCTGTCCCTGAGCTGCGGTTCCCGTCTCCATCCTCCAGGGGTCAGAGCGGTAGGGTCGTGTGTCCCACCTCCCCGAGTGTTGCTGCAGGATCCGCCCAGCACCAGCACACGCAGTGCGCAGCCCGTGTGCGCCCAGACTGGGAAGCGAACGAGCCCTCTCCCCTCAGCCGTGCTGCGCCCCCTTGCCCAGGTCCCTGGGCAGCAGATCTGTCTTGGGTTCTGACTGGTACTGCTGGAAAGTTTTTCCCCTTGAAAAATATTTTCCAGACACTCGGCCGTTCTGGAATCGTGTCTCCGTGCCTTGTTGGCCAGGGCCCTTGAGGTGCACCCTGCTGTGAACTGGCAGGGCTCCAGGTGGCCCGTGCACTGCCCAGGCTGGAGCTGGGTGGGAACTAGCCCACCTTCAAGCTGCCCCTCGTCGTACAGAGGAACGAAGCAGCCCAGGTTCACCACCCCCCGGAACCAGGTTGGGACTGGAACGCAGGCCCCTCGGCTCCAGGGCTGCAGTCTGTGTGTGTGTGTGTCTCTCTACCCCACCTCCCCCCCCACCCCCCCCCGCCCCAGGCTGCTCTCTTCTCCTGTTGTTTCTTCCTGTTCCTAAGTCTCGTGAGGGCACCTAGAGGGCAAACAGATCTCCTCCTCCGGCTTCCTAACAGGCTGGCCAATCACTGGGTTTTGGTCCTCTTTCAAGCTCCTTGTAGACCAAGTACAGAGAGGCCACCAACAGCAGGGGCTGGCATCTGAGGTGCAGATTTGGCCACGGTCACTGGAGAGGGCAGAGTGTGGGACTGGAGACTTCAGTGTTTCCCAGAGGGGTGAGTCAAGGCAGAGCCACACCAGGGCCAGCAGGACTCCTTCTGGTCAGGGCCTCTCTGACTGTGGAGGTGGGAACGGCTGCAGTCTGGACTCCTGCCGTCCAACAGAGAGCGCTGACTCTGCACCCAGCCGGGGCTCACCCTAGGCGTGTGCACAGGGACCCGTCCTCGCCTGTGAGAGGTCACGGTCTGTGTGGGGAGCGCGTGGTGTTCGTAGTAGGGGTACCCATCCTGCACCGTAGCTCACAGGGTCACCGCCCACTTCGAAGGGCACGCTTCCCCCACACCGTAAGGTGGATGGAGTCACTCCTGGAGTCATGGGGGACCACCACACCTCAGTCCACAGTGGCCTTGACATCCTCTTGCAGACATAGTGTAGGGCTGTGAGCTGTCAAGGGGGACCCACCCCTATGCTGGAAGGTGAGTGAGAGAGGGTGGCTGGTGCCAGTCACGAAAGGTTTTACCCCAAAGGAGATACTTATACTGGGCCCTGGCTGGTGTGGCTCCGTGGGTTGAACGCCAGTCTGTGAACTGAAAGGCTGCAGGTTTGATTCCCAGTAAGGGCACATGCCTGGGCTGAGAGCCAGATCCCACCCCACCCCCCCAGCTGGGGGCATGGGAGAGGCAACCAATCAATGTTTCTCTCACACATCCATGGTTTTCTCCCTCTCTTTCTCCTTCCCCTCTCTCTAAAGAAAAATAAGTAAAAATCTTTGTTTAAGGAAAAAAGATGCACATAATGGGTCTTGAAGGGCGAGGTAACCACATCAGTGACATATTTATACCCATCTACACAGAGGCCTGTGTTGCCTTCTGCCAGTGTTTGTGCCTCCGGGATGATTTACGTGGTCTATTTCTGGAGTGTCCCTCACAGCCGAGAGGGCATTGGGAGCAAATGCCACATCTGTTTGCCTTCACAGGGCTCTGTCAGACATGCATGGGGTGGCCACGCCCCCACCCAGCGAGGACCTGCGCACGGCAGGGGCAGCCCGGTGGTGGAGGGGCGCCTTCCGAGGTCTTTCTGTGTGCACAGGAGTCCCCGGGAAGGAGCTAGGTCAGATCAGCGATTGCCACTGACTAGTGTGATGATTTGCTGTTCTCCCAAGCAATTATAGATTTCATTTGTCCAGGCAGGAGTTGCAAATTGGATGTGGGGCAGGCAGGGACAGTGATGGCATTTGAACACCAAAGAGCTGGAGGGAAGTGGAGAAATGAATGAGTACTGCTGGTCGGGCAGAACGCCAGAGGGGACGTGGACAAACGACACCTGGTTTACGATGCTGGCACAAGCATTTCCTTTAAGGCCAGGTTCACGGAGTTATGATTTACGTGCAGTAAAACTCACCCTTTTTGGGGTGTAGTTCTTTGAGTTTTGACAGATGGATGTGATCCCGTAACCACCACCACAGGCAGACACTAAACACTTCCAGCGCCCCAGAAGCTCCCGGGCCAGCCTCCGGCAACCACGAATCTGTCCTCTGTCCTTAGCACGTTTGGCTTCTCCCATGTGTGTAATAAATGGAACCGTTGGGTATCGGAACCTTTCGAGTCTGGCTTTAACTCAGCAGAATGCATTTGTGATTCCCCCACATCGTTGCACAGGTCGGTAATTCATTTCTTCTTCCTGCCAGCCAGTGCCCCGCGGTGTGGCTGTGCCGCCGTCCGCCCAGCCCTCTAGTCGAAGGAGGGACGCTTGGGTTGTCTCCGGGTCGGGGTGGTCACCAGCCGGGGCTGCGGACCTGCGCGTCCCGGTCTCTGTGTGTGTGCGCTCTCCTTCTCTCCGGTCACCCGGGTGGGGCTTACCCCAGGTGGGGCTGCTCGTCTGTGTGTGCGGTCAGAGGGTGTGAGGTTGATGAGAAGCTGCCGGACTGTTTTCCCCACGGCCGTATCATCTTGCATTCCCACCAATTCCAGTTGCTCTCGTTCCTTTTTGAAAAATGTGAAGAATGACGCTAAAGGGTGCTGCAGCGGTGCTGTTGACCTGGCTCGGTGTGGCGGGCGGCCGACCGGGGCAGGCACCCGGAGGGGGAGGGGGAGGGGAGAGGTCCATGGGCCTCCCGGCCCCCCCACCCCCCCACCCCGGGCCCCTGCACCGCCGATCGCCTTCAAGATTCCCCTTCCACTTTAATCTTTGGAGAAGTGATATTCGCACCCTTGTTGGGATTTCTCATTAGGCTCCTCTCTGTTACGGCTCCCGTGACAGGTGAGTTTCACGCACTGGGCGTGGAGCCCACACTGGGCCTCACGCCTGAGAGCAGTGAGGCCAGGTGGGGGGCCACGTCGCCTGCGTCCCGCAGCCTCTGCGCACCCCGTCTCCCTGTAGCTATACCTGGAGTGTCCGGGGCCCGTTTTGGCTGCATGGGGTCAGAGACAGGCACTGAGGGGTGGTGACCCCGGCACCCCATGACAGAAAGCCTGGACACAGAGCTCAGTGGGTCTGCAGGCACCAAGAGTGTGCATAGACCCAGGGACGAGGGAAGGAGGAATGGAGCGATTGCCAGTCCCTGGCCTCAGGAAATTGATGGTCTTTGCTGGGGAGTGAGCATGGTACACCCCAAGCTAAGCACTATTACCAAAGGCCACATGTGGCAGTTCAGGGATCTGTACCCCAAAACCACAGAGACAGCCACACCCCTCTTGTACAGGGGGAAAGTGCCTGAAGACTGGGCTGTCACTTGGGTGGTGGGAATTAGTCCCTGACTGACAGTGGGAGCTCTCCCGTTGGTGGGGAGAGGGGCCAGGGTGGTTGCAGGTGGAGGGACAGTGACAGAGGCCTAGAGGTCAGAATGGGGGGGGGGGGGCATGGGAAGGACAGTCCATCGGCATGACCCCTGCCAGAGCTGCCCTTTAGCCACTTCCTCCCTGAAAGAGTGGGGTCCGAGATCCACAGGTCTATACAGACCCTGGAGGCTGCTGACTCACAGGCCCCGAAGATCGGGGTGCAGGGTGGGTGAGCACCGTCTCCAGGGCTCGCTGAGAGCTCCTGAGTCAGAACTGCGGGGCAGTGGGGGAGAGATGAGCAGCAGACTGGAGGCCACCAGCAGCCTGGGGACCGAGCACCGGTAAACCGAGTCACCTGCTGGGTCACCACGGTGTCCTACCAGGACCGATGTAGAACTAACAACGATATCCTCTGTCTGTCTATTTGTCCGTCCGTCCACCCAGGTGCAAATTCTTCAGTCTGACTGAGACACCGGAGGACTACACCATCATCGTGGATGAGGAGGGCTTTCTGGGTGAGTGCTTCTCTCCTCTGGGACATGGCTGCCCTGTGCCCTCCGGTCCTCCGGTCCAGCGGGGCTGCCTCCTCCTCATTTCTGCCCCCACCAGCTGGTGGGTGGGAAGTCGGCAGACAGCAGACAGCCTTCCCTCCCCTGTGTCCTCTCGCTGATCGCCAACGCCCCCCACTCCCCGTCCAGAAAGGCCTCAGAGCTAAACGGGTAAAGGAGGCAAGAGCCAACTCCACCAGGCACTGAAGGAGTCAAGAAGGAAGAGAGGTGTCGGGGCGCCTGTTGGGGGCCGGGCGCCATACGCTGTGCTCCATCCTCGTTCCCACTGGAGCAAGCCCCCGGGACCACCCTCCCTGACCTCCCTTGACCTTTCTCCATGTTTGAAATCAAGATGTACTGTATGTGCCGTGAAATTCAGTGCTGGAGCACACACAACCGCTGGGCGGTTTCTGACACCGGGCAGTGGCACGGCCTGCGGCACCGTGTCCCAGAGCGCTTCGCCGCCCAGAAACCCCCGCTGCCTGCCTGCCAGCAGCCCCTCGCCCCTGCCCGCACTGTGCTGCAGCTTCATCATTAAAGTTCTTGTGTTTGTCCTGCTCTAAAGCAGCAACGGACATTCACTCGTGCATTCACCAGTGCACGTTAATTCATGGGGAGGCGATGCACCCACGGGCGAGCGGCTGAGGACGGCGGGGGGAGGGGGGAGCCGTGTGCCCCGGAGCTCAGGGGGAGCCTGCCCCAGAGCTGCCGTCTGCACCCCCGTCTTCCAGACAGACAGACCCCACGTTGTGTGGAAGCAGCCCCACCCCAAAGACAACCAGTAACTTCTTAGCGTTTCAACTTTTTTCTGTACATGGGATGTCTCTTTTTAATTTACTTATGAGCACAGTACATACAGAAACATTTTCACGTAACATCGCAGCTTGAAGTCCCGTGTGACGTCACCGTCCCTCTCCGCAGCCCCACTTCCTTGCCCAGGGCCCTGAGGTCAGAATTAAAGTTGCTTTAGTTTTCTCCGGTGATAAATTCATAAACTCTCTAAATGTGTAACATTCATTCTCCTTCAGGTTGATCCCTAAAATGGGGTCCGAGAAATGGCGTACGGGTCAGAAGTTGACTGTTTTACAGTTCTCGATTCATGTTGAGACCCCGGGGAAGCAATCTCTCCGGCCCTGTTGTGTCGCCCTTACCCACAGGCGCCCCGGGCACTGCGCCGGTGTGTGGGCTGGGCCCGGCCTGCACATCTCAAGGACGCAGTGTCCTCCCCTGTCTGTCGGGGGCAGCTGTGTGGCCGGAGCAGGGCTAGGGGGCACCCACGTAGTCACTCGCTAGTCGATCTGTTCAGCAGACGCTTTCTGAGCACAGGAGCCACCAGTACACGAAAGCTGTGCACTCGGGCAACCCAGACACTGTTCATTTTCTCATGGGCATGTACGTACACCTCTGATGCGGAACTGCTGGGAATCGTGGCGTCTCAGACACAGAAGGAACGCTCCAGAGCATCTGTTCCCTGGGAATAGATATTCTATCCGACCCTCCTCCCCAGAGGAGACTAAAGTCTCCGTGTCTGGAAGCACCAAATGAGAGAACACCACGAGCAGGGAGAGGGGGAGGCCGTGGGACCTGATAAGCCAGTTTCACAGGCCCTGGCAGCCCGTGTGCAGGAACCGGCCCGCGGAGGAGGGGCCGGCTGTCGGAGCCAGCCCCCGGGGTTGCAGGAGGCAGAACTTACTGAGCACCTAGGGTGTGCCAGCACCTGGCTGGCCCTGGAGATGTGGCTGGAACTGAGAGACACCATCTCTGACCCCAGGAGCCTCAGGGCTCTGTAACTTCTCCCTTTCAGGCCAGCAGAGCTGGCTACTTGGGAAGCTATTGTTGCCCAAGAAAAAACTGGGTGCATTTAAAGTAGTATCTCTCATACCCCTGTTGTAGAGCTACAGGGGAAAGCATCCAAAATAAGACTCACCTGTACCCAGCTGCAGAGATGCATCACCTCCTGGGATCGTTCCAGTGGCCTGAGGGTAAAGAGTAAAGATGCATTTTCTGAGAGGGAAGACTGACCTTACAATGCCTGGAGTCCCTGAGTGATGGGGGCCCATCTGAAGCAGGAAGTGCTGTGGTGGTTCCCCACAGACCGAGGGCAGGAGAGCTGAGCAGGAGGGTAGGCCGGGGTATGGCCAGGCTGTTCAGGAAGGCCCACCGAGGGCAGGATCTGGGGTGGGGGCTACTGAGTTCCAGCCTCTCGCCTCAGCTCTGGGGTGGGGGGTGTTTCTGTTAGGAGGCTCCTCTTTGGAAAGGGGGTTCAGTCTGTGGCGCCCCCATGGGGCGGGGCGGGCAGGGGTGCTGGTTGTGCCGCACTGTGCGAAGGGTGGTGCTCTGTCTCCCGGCTCTGCAAACACTGCTCCTGGCCCAGGAGCCTCCCTTCCCTGGGGAGCCTCGGTGGTTCGCTGGCAGTACTGTCAGCGGGAAGCTTTCCCAGTTAGGCACTAGCAGCTGTCTGCGGCTCACGTGTGTGTAAAACGCTAAGCCTTCCCTGGGAGGGTGGGACAGTTGTCAGTGACATTGACCAGGTGGCTCTGTCTCATGTGGAATTTCAGAGGCTCTTGGCGCAAACTGATGCTGTGTGTCTGTGTGGCGAACAAGGGGTTTCTGTGTGTGTGTCATTTGATCCTTTACGAATTTAATGAGCATTTACTAGGTGCAATGCTAGATGCTCTTGGGGACCCAAAATAATGCAAGCGGCAGCCCCTGCCCTGACCTCTGGGTAGTGGACAGCGTCTTAGGTTTGCAGTTAAGTGGGGCGCAGTGCTAATCAGGACCCCTTCAAGGCTCCCCTCCCCCCACCGTCTCAGTCTCCTTGCCTGCGTCAGTGGTGTCTGCACCGCACTGGAGCAGGACAGGTTCCTGGGCCGTGACTGGCCGAAAGGTAGGAGGAGGAGGACACGCAGAGGGAACTCCTGGTGTCACACTGGGCTCAGATGGGAAGATCCAGGTTCGGATCTAGCCCTACTACTCACTGCTTCCCATTCTGGGCAAGCTACTCAGCACCCTGCGGCCTCCGTGGCTGGGTCCCAAACACAGTCACCGCCCTCCTCTCAGTTCTGTGAGGCACACTTGTGGCGGACACAGCACGTGAGTGGACCCAGGCAGTGCAAACCTGTATCGTTCAAGGGTTGGCTGTGCTGCTTTACAGTGAAGTTGAACATTTTTTAAACTCCTGATACACTTTACCCAACTGCCATCCAGAACCTGCAAGGCCGCCACCAGCAGCATGAGACAGGAAGGCTCTGGCATTGGACGGGCACCTGGGCGGGTGCCAGGCACTCAGCCCAGTGCTTGGTGGGGATTATCTCATTTAATCCTCCCAGCGCTTCCCCAGTTGATCCTGGTTTCATCATCCCACGTTTGAAAACTTAAAAACCCAGGGGCCCAAGGTCACACGGCCAGGATTACCAGGATTAAAGCCGCCTGCCCTACCCTAGGAGGCTTGTCCCCGCTTGGCCCTGCTGCAGGCAGGGTAGGGGGAGCTGGAGAAGCACAGGCCTGTGCAGAGGACGCCTCCATGCAGCACAGGGCACCGCAGGTCCTACAGCCAGAGCCCGGGGCCCCTGGGCAGGTGGGGGCTCCACCCAGCAACGGTCACCCAGCTCTGTGACTGGGAGGGTGGCAAGACACTGGTACCTCGTGTACCAAGGAGCGTCCTCAGCTCCAAGAACCTATTTTTGGGGTCTCGGACAATGGGCAGTGACAGAGATGATCTGTTTGTCTTGGAATGGGTCCACTTTCCCTCTAGGGAAGAGCCAGCTTGCCACCTCCTGCCGGCTCGTCCCCAGGGCCCCAAAGCAGTACCGTGGGCTCCCCGAGGCTTGGCCCAGGGTGGGGATGAAGTCCAGCAGCCCTTCCCTGTCCCCCAGAATGCCGGGGCTGCATTTGGGGTCCGTGGAGCCGGAAGCAGCAAATGGCTGTGGTTTCCAGCTGCTTTCGCTGCTCTGACAAAGCTCGCTCTTCTGGAAGCCTTGAGGTGACTGCTGGTCCAGGCCGACAGTCCAGGCCTGCCGCTGGAAGAACCTCGGGGGCTTCTTTTCAGGGCCGAGAGCCAGAGGGGGAGTTCTGAGTGTCTGCTCTGATGGACCTGGGCTGGAGAAATCTCTCCGACGCCTCGGGTAACGAGCAGAGAGACCAGACACGGCTGCCCGAGACCCAGCGTCTTTTCAGGTGTTTTCTCCTGCTCTCCCTCACAAACCTTTTCCCTTTCTCTGGGAAGCTGCCTGCCTCCCCAGCCAGCCTGGCCAAGGACGGGCCCTTCTCAGCCAGCAGGACCAATGGGCTGGCTGGGCTGTGGTCACCATGACGACCAGAGCTGGGCAGGTAGAAGCCTGGCAGGGCCTCGCTCAGTCTCCCCTCCTTGGAAGCCATCTTGCCTGAGGCTAGCACAGCCTTCCCTGGGGTATTACCATCATCACCATCATCATCTTCAGTGTCTGGGCCCCTCTTCTGAGCCCCTGTTCTTCCTGGGGACCTTCCTCCCACTGAGTGCCCAGGACAGAGCATGCGGTGTCAGACCTGGGCTTGAGTCCTGGCACTGTCCTTCCCTGAGTGGTCTTGAGCGAATCGCTGCCCTCTCGGAGCTCCGGTTCAGGGTGTCTGCCCTGGGAATGACAGTCCCTTTGTGGGGTCGGTTTGAGCAGGTGCCTGCAGCGCGTGGAGAGCCCTGTGCGCAGCTCTGTGGCTGCATGTTCATGGAGGCGTGCGCGCACACGTCCCGTGCACAGGCTTCTCCGGGGGCTCTCTGCAGGATTCGGTGAGAGGACGGTCCAAACGTGTGAAATCCAGGTCTTCATGGGGTAGTCGGGGAGACCCGGCAAATGCTGTCGCTCTGAACCTCCCCCGCCCCACCCCCGCCCACCCCCCAGGACTCCCAGGCCCTCGGGGGGATGTGGATGACAGGGGGACCTGACGGCGGCCCCAGGAGCCCTCCTGGAGCTGTGTGTTCTTGCAGAGAAGCCCCGACCCAGCAGTTCTGGCTGAAGCAGGGGGGAGTCAGGGCCCCCGTCCTGTCTCTTTCGGCCTCCCCACCACCCCCAGCCTCCTGGGAAGTTCCCGGGAGCCCAGTTTGAAAACCACGAGACCCATTATTCTACTGGTGTGGGCCGGTGATGGCAGCAGCTGCCGTCCAGGGGGCAGTGAGGTCTAAGGACAACAAAATCATTCTGGCTGCTGCGTATTCGTCATTTCACAGTTGGGGAAACTGAGGCCCAACACTGATAAACTGTACGTCCCTGTGTTTCCCACCCTGTTGAGCCACCCACCGTGTCCAAAGTCCTCTGAGGCGGACCCCACGCCCCTCTGACAGATGAGGGCACTCAGGCCCAGAAGGTGGGTCTGGCTGAGGTCACACAGCTGGTCCCAGGTCTCAGTCCCCACCCCAGGGACCTTCTCTGCCCTGGGGACCTGAGGCCTGTCAGTCACAGACCTGCCTTCTGTGTCCCCTCCAGAGCTGCCCTCCTCGGAGCATCTGAGTGTGGCAGACGCCACCTGGCTGGCCCTCAATGTAGTGTCAGGCGGCGGCAGCTTTTCCAGCTCCCAGCCCATCGGGGTGACCAAAATCGCCAAGTCGGTCATCGCCCCGCTGGCCGACCAGAACATCTCCGTGTTCATGCTGTCCACCTACCAGACGGACTTCATCCTGGTAACTGCCTCACCCCACCCCAGGGCCTCGGGCAACGTGGACAACCCCTGCAGACATTGTCTGCTCAGTTCTGTGGCCCCCATTCTCCCATCAGCTCAGAGACCAGGGGGACCTCAGGGTCATCAGTGAAGTACAGGCACAGCCCACCCTGGCCCGAGGTCTCTGCCCCACCACACCCACCACTTGCCTTTGGTGCGGACATGCTGGGCTTTCCTGGGGGCCAGGAAGTGAGGTCTGTGGCCACACATGCGGGTGGGATCCCCTCCCGGCTAGACATGTCTCCCCATTCCCCCCCTCCCCTGGGATGGCGGGTTGTCTGGTCACGGGGCCAGCACCAGCTCCTGGCCACCGTGTCATCCATTCCCTTCTCCCCTGGGGCATGGCCACCCTCGGGAGAATGGGCCTGGAGAGGGGGACGGGTCTGGGCACAGCACTCTGGAGGGTGGGGTGGGGGCAGACCTGTACCTCCCAGCCCTCGGCGTGGTGTCTCCTCCCCTCTGCACCATTCCTGCGGCCCCCGGAGACATGTGCCCCTGACCCCAAGCTCCCGTCCCCCACCGGGGGGCAGGAGGCACGGACTCTCAGAGTGAAGGGGTCGATGTCCGCAGGCCCACTTGACCCAGGGCCACAGGACACCCGCATCCTCAACTCCCCACCCCCAGGTGCGTGAGCGGGACCTGCCCTTTGTCACCCACACCTTGTCTTCTGAGTTCACCATTCTGCGGGTCGTCAACGGTGAGACGGTGGCAGCGGAGAACCTTGGCATCACCAATGGCTTTGTGAAGCCCAAGATGGGTGAGTGGGGGCTCTGGTCAGGGAGACCTCGGTGAGTCGCCAGGTCCCTGAAGTAAGCCAGTTGGAGGAAGACAAGTACCATATGCCTTCTCTTACGTGTGGACTCGAGTGAGCAAACCGAACTCACAGACTGGAAAGAGACTCCTTGGTACAGAGAACAGACTGACAGCCGTCAGAGGGGAGGCGGGCCGGGGGGCCGGGTGGAAATGGTGAAGGGATTAAGATGGAAAACGGACCCGGGCAACAATGGGGGCACTGCCAGGGGGAGGGGGAGGGGAGGGGACGTGGGCATAGGGGGTAAACGGTGACGGGAGGAGGCTGGCTTTGGGTGGCGAACGCACGATGCAGTACAGATGATGTGTTGTAAACTTGTACACTTGAAACCTGTATGATTTTGTTAACCACGGTCTGCCCAACAAATTCAGTTTTGAAAAAAGGAGTTGTTAGCAGGGCCTGCCCGAGGCCAGCCCGTTCTCACAGCGTCAGCTGAGCACCAGGCACAACGCGGTCCAGAGTCCTGGTTGGACGCTGTTCCCGGGGTCGAGCCTGGGGGGCGGACGTGGACGCAACCAGCGACGGCCAGGGGCCGTCCAGCCCGCCCCGGTGTCAGGGTGGACCTCCCGGGGTACTGACTCTCGGCTCACTGATGCCTGGAGCACAAGTGGGAGCTCAGCCAGAAGGTGACGGTTGGGAAGAGCATTCCAGGCAGAGACTGCAGCCTGTGCACAGGCCCAGGGCCCGTGGGGGGCCAGGAGGCCGAGAGGAGTGGCGGACGGTGGTGGAGGCTGAAGAGATGGCGGGACTGGCCTCCAGGGCCTGCAGCCAGCCCTCCCCATGGCCCCTGCCGCTCTCCCGCCCCTTTCCCGGGCCTGCGCCTGCCCCACACGGCTGCCCTCCCGCCGACCTCGGCACCCCCGTCTTTGTCCTCTCGCAGTCCAGAGGCCTGTCATCCACCCGCTGTCCAGCCCTAGCAACAGGTTCTGTGTCACCAGCCTGGACCCCGACACGCTGCCCGCTGTCGCCACACTCCTCATGGACGTCATGTTCTACTCCAACGGGTAGGTCCCCCTGGGGCAGGAAGGGCCGCAGGGCCGGTGGAGGGGAGACACAGCCGTGCCCGGGAGCCCCGGTCTCGGGGGACACGGGCCTGCCCGGGCGCCCGTCTGAAGGGGAGACACAGGTGCGCCCCGGCTGCCAGGGTAGGGGCTGGAGACGTGGCCCCACCCAAAGCCCCACCCTGAGAAGGGAGACGTCTTCCTCGGGAAGCTCAGAACTCGGGGAGCCTGGGTGCAGGTGTAGTTGCAGCAGCCCCCGCTGCTGTCTGCCGCGAGGGCAGGCTCGGTCCTCGAGGAGCCAGGAACTCGGGGGTTTTCATTCGGAGGACGACAGGCTTTGAGTTTCTTCTCAGAATAGATTTTAAGTTTAGGCCAACACCAGGTCAGGTGGGTGCAGGTGCAGTGAACTGGCCGTGACCCCAGATCGTGCCGAGGCATGGGCCAGCACAAGGACGGAGAAACCCTGCCTCCGTGAGTGCCTCGGAGGCCGGTGCCTCTCACGGATGAGACCAAGGGGGTGACCCAGCAGGGCAGGAGAGGGGCTGGGACCTGGCCCTGCCCTCCAGGGCCGGGGCTCTCCCCGACACTTCATGCTGAGGCTAGCGGGCAGGGCCGGAGAGCCGGGGGGTGTCGGGGTGCTGTGGGCCCTCCGCTCCACCCCTCACCCTCACCCCCGCCCCCAGCGTGAAGGACCCAATGGCTGCCAGCGATGACTGTGGCCACATCCGCTTCTTCTCCTTCTCCCTCATTGAGGGCTACATCTCCCTGGTGATGGACGTGCAGACCCAGCAGAGGTGAGCCAGCCACAGGGTGGAGGCGTACCCAGGGCGGGCTCGGCTCCATGATGGGCACGGCACCCACTTCGTCCCAGCAGGTCCTCACCGCAGCCCCTCACTGCGGGGGAGCTGGCCCCGGGTCCTCCGAGTGCCGTTTGTCCCTCAGCCCCCTGCGCTGTTCCACAGCCCAGTCCCAGCCTTGCCTTCCTGGTCCCCTACCCCCAACCCGGGTGAGGAGGGTGCAGAGAGAGTGGGTCAGGGGCTCGACAGGGGTCCTCAGGCCCATCCAGTGGCAGGTGGAGCCCCAGCTGCAGGGGAGGCTCTGTGGAGGGCCGGCGGGGGAGCCCTGTTAACATCAGCTCTCTGGGGGGGTCTCCCTCCCTCTGAAGGTTCCCTAGTAATCTGTTGTTCACGAGCGCATCCGGAGAGCTCTGGAAGATGGTGCGGATTGGAGGACAGCCCCTGGGATTTGGTAAGCCCCGCGGGAGTGCAGCAGCCGGGCTGAGGAAGCTGGCATTGCCGAGTGCCTCCAAGTGCGGGCCCTCATGTCACCTGGAGTCGCTCGGCCTGTGCACCGCCGTGCCCTGTGGTGCAGACGGGGAGCCCCAGGTCCTGGCCGGTGAGTGGCGGGTGGTGCCTGCGCCTGGAGGACAGGAGGCGTGGCTTCAACCCAAGCACCCCTGTTTCTCCCCCAACTAGAAAATAAACACCTGCTCAGTATTAGAAAACGGGGGGCGTGATAACAATTGAAGAGGGAAAGAAAACCACTCCTTAGTCCCACTGCTCACCGTCTCGGCTGCGTCCTTCCCATGAAGCCCTCACAGTCAGTCTCAGGCGTCCCGGGGCTGCACCTTGTCTGTTTGGGGACAGGCGCTTCCTCCTCTGAAACCACAGCGACCTGATCCCATGGGAGGAAATTCACAGTGATTCCCTAAGACTCAGTCCAGCGTCAGTTTCTACAGTTGTCCATGCAGTGTCTTTGGTAGTTTCTCCAGAAGCATTTTCCGTGGGGCCCCAGAGCCTCAGACCCCTCGGTCAGTCAGGAGGGCACATGACGTGCATGTGGCAGCACTGGGTACAGGCCGGGGCCCCTCAGGGCGACAGCAGAGTGCCCGGAGTAGAGCTCTGTCTCCACGAGAAAGGGCTTCCTCACGTTAGACTGTCAGGCCCAGAGCCTGAACCCAGAGGACGCCCTGGGTAAATCGCAGAGTGGTTATGTCCAGGGAGCATCCCTGGCAAGCCCCGTGGGACCAGTGAACCCTGACTTCCCATAGACGGGGTGCAGGGTGCTTCCAGGAACACTCAGACTGCCCCAGAGCCATCGGGTCCGCCCGAGGGCTCTGCTCCTGGGACGGGACACAGAGGTGGCAGGGCATTTCGACCTGGGAGCAACGGGTCTGTGGGGCAGCCAGGTTCTGCCACCTGCTTCCCCCTTCCACATTCGCAGGTAGGTGGTGACCTGCGGGACACTGTCCCCTCACTGCTCACATCAAAGCCAGAGCCAGGGCCATCCTGGGGCAGGAGGGCATAGTGCTACTCTCCCGGGGCCAGCAGTGCACACTGAAGGATCCTGCTCTGACTCTGGGGCCCCGCCTGTGCCTCTGGCCGCCTCTGGCACAAACCCCAGCATTTCCCATGTTTGCTGCCCGGTGAAGGAAGCTGGAGCTTGGACCATGGGGTGTGTTGCTTAACCCCTGAGCCTCAGTTTCCTTATCTGTAAAATAAGGATAAAGATAGACACTGCCTCGCGGCGGCTGTGAGCCCTGCACAAGGTGTCAGCTGCACTGTGTGCTCAGCGAGCAGCGGTTGCTGTCACTGTCACATAGGGACCAGGTGGCTCGGAGAAGGTTCAGGAAGGGAAGGCTTCTGGAAGGAGGGGGCTCCAGAGCTGACTGGTGGGCAGGCACTGGGCCGGCAGGAAGGGGTGGCAGTCTGGCATCGCCCCCCACCAGGTCATCCCAGGCGAAGGAGCACGGTCCTGGTGCCAGACCGAGGGGTCTGCCGCCACGTCTCCGGCAGAGCTTCAGCAGGTGAGGGCAGCAGCCAGGAGCCGCCAGGAGGAGACACGGGAAGAGGCAGGAAGACATATACACCTGCTTATCTTTTTATCCCAGCTTTGTTTCCGAGTTCACCAAAATACACTCCGTACAGTCATAGTACCCAGAAAGTCTGGGTGGAGGAGGAGGACAGGTGGGATGGCAGAGGGGGCCGCCGTCCCTGTGCTGGCGGGCATCTGCACGGTGCCGTCGTTTGCTGGGCCTCATGGGTGCTGACGGGGAGAGGGGTGTGCAGACACCCGTGGGAGCCCGGCAGGCGGGAGGGAAGGCGACCGCGGGACCTGCCTTCCCCGGAGGTGGAGGGTTTAGAGCCGTGCTCCTGGCTGTAAAGAGAAATGACTCAGACTCTGATAGGTTCTAGGCCAGCGGACTCCACGCATGTCTGACCGTGGTTGGAGTAAGCGTGTCTTACATCACAACCCAGCACACACACCCCAAGCGACCCGAACGACAGTTTCACAAAACGGCGTTCACCTAGCCACGTGCTGTGTCGTCTGGCCTTTCCTGTCCCGTGGTGCCGTCTTACAAAACGCCGATCATGAGCCTCATAAGTTAATATCACAAGTGGGCCACGACGTGCAGTTGGAAATGCACCGTCCTAGACCCTCGTCTCCTCCGCCCCCGCCCCCGCCCCGCCCCGTATGGGACGGTCGTGCCTGTAGCCACCGCTGCCTCAGGACACTGCCCAGCTCCACTCCTGGCCGCACAGGACGGGCCCCAGGAGGCAGGCCTGAGGTCCGCACTGGCAGACCCAGGGGCAAGCAGGGACTTAGGGAGGCCACTACACAGGTCCCTGGGGTGGGCCAACAAGCAGGGCCAGGGTCACGGGGTGGAAGGTCAGGCAGGAGCAATGCTGAGTGTGGTGACAGTGGGGCTGGGACCCAGGTTAATCCCAGGTTTCAGCCCCAGTATTTCCTGGGAGCTGGTGACCAGATCTGGACTCTCCACGCCCACCACTGCACCCGCAGTCGGCTGGGATGTTGTTGGGGAAATGTGTCCTCATCAAAATCAGAACAGTAGCTTTTAGGAAAACATACAGTTGTATTCAAGGAGAGTAGTCCAGGTGGTCTTCCTGTAGGAGGAAGCCTTGAGTGGTACATTTAAATCAGGGAGGAAGCTGCAGTTTGAGGATAAGACCAGCCCCAGGCAAGCCCAAGGTGGCCTTATCAGATGAGGTTTGGGGACAACAGGAAGTCACGTCCCAGCCCAACCAAACACCTGACACTGCCATTAGGACAGGCAGGGGCCATCGTCCAGTGGGGACCCCGATGAGGAAACTGAGGCTCAGACAGAGGAAGTGACTCGGCCACAGTCGTCTGGCTAGAAAAGTGCCAGTGAGAGAAAAGAGGGCCTGGACCCCTGTGCCTGCTGCCCACACTGCCTCCAGCTCTGTCCGAGAGAGCTCGGGAGGTGCGGGGAAGATGGCACGGGGCTACAGAGCGTGGAAGCAGGCGGAGGGTGGCCAGAGTTAGACAGAACTCAGGGCAGGGGGGGCCTGACACTGCAGAGCTCGTTGCTGGCTGAAGGAATCAGAGGGCTCCTGGGTAGGGAGCCTTCGCACTGGGCCTTCGAGGGGCAGGGGGCGCGGTCTCCGGGGAGACTGTGGGCACAGGGCAGGCACCGCTGGCAGAGGGGCGGGGAGGGCTGAGGAGTGAGGGGGGCCCAGGGCACACTGGCCAGTGCCAGGTGATGATGCCAGGTGGAGGCTAAGCACAGTCCCCACCTCTGTCCCCAGATGAGTGTGGCATTGTGGCCCAGATCTCGGAGCCCTTGGCTGCTGCGGACATCCCCGCCTACTACATCAGTACTTTCAAGTTCGACCACGCACTGGTGAGTGTCCAGCCCCGCACGAGCACACGCGCGCGTGCACACACACACACACACACACACAGGGAAGCCAGTGTTGGCGCAGGGGCTCATGTGTTGGCGGCCTCCTGCCCTTTGCAGGTACCAGAAGAAAACATCAACGGCGTCATCGGCGCCCTGAAAGTCAGCCAAGCAGAGAAGCATTAGGAGGGGGTCTCTCCCCTCCCCGTCCACGCCCCAGCCCTGGGCCCAGCCCCACCTGAAGACTCTTCTTGCAGTATTTCTCCAGACTGGAACACCATCCCCAGGTCCCCCGAAGAAAGGGCCTCAGAGACATCCCCATTTGCTGACCTTACCAGGCCTGGAACCCAAGCCGGGACCTCCCCTGCCCTCCGGCCTTCCCAGAGCCCCCAGGCCCTCCAGAGAATACCCCCTCCCCCTCCTCCCCCAACCCCCACTCCAGAAAATGATGCCTGAGGCCCAGGGAGCGTGTGAGCTGACCCACCTCCTCACCTGGCTTCGCCCACAGCTGGGAGCAGACACTGAAGTAAGCTGGCACCTCCTGCAAGACACCGGGGTCCCGATTCACATGTCTTTTTGGGGAGCAGGCCCAGTGGGGCTGAGTTCGTGCAGCCTGGGGCAGCCCCCGTGAGGGCGGGGAGTGGATGCTATGGTTGCTGGTCTCGGGTCCCATCGGCTCAGGCTGGTTCTCGGAGTGGAGGCCAGTGGGCGGCCCTCGGGACACGCGTAGGTGAGGCTCCAGCGGGGCTCGGGTGGGGCGCCAAGCTGGGGGCGCCTGGAGCCGCCTGGGAGTTCCCCTGCCACATACAGGGGGCCCGTGCCCCAACTCCCAGCAAGACTGCCAGCGGGGCCCCGTCCAGACCCTCCTGCCGCAAGCTCCCTCCTGGGAGACGCCCCAGGAGCTCCCCCTGGGTTCCCTGCGCCCGACTCAGGCAGCGGAGCCTCGGTTTCCCCCAGGCGAGGGCGCTGCCGGCCCCCTGGGCCTGAGGTTTCTTAGGCTGCCCCCTCCCTAACAGTTGACCGGGCCAGCACAGGGCTCCCCTGTCCTCCTGCCCCTCCTTCACCCCACTTCGGGGGACATGCAAGGCCTCTGCCCCCAACTCCCTTGCCCGCCTGCCCCTCCGTCTGGGGCCTGTGGCACTCATCAGTACTTGATCTGGGAGGCAGCTTATCTGAGCCTTAATAGAGAAAACCGTACTTTGTTTAGTTTTTTATTTAACATATTTGCGCCCAGGCTGAGGCTGGCAGCCATTTCGGGAAACGGGGCCTGCCTGCCGAGTTTTGTCCGGCCCAGAGGCCCGGGGTCACTCAGCTGGCGCCCTGTGGCTCCGAGGACAAGCGCGAGGACTGGGGCCTTGGCTCCTCTTCGGAGTGGGACGCTGGGAGCAGAGGGCTGTTGGTAGACGGGCCCCAGGGCGCCTCGTGCAGGGCTGCCCAGCCAGGCCTAATGACAGGTACCCAGGCAGCCGGGATTCCGAGCGTCAGAGGGGACCTGAGGGCCGTGGGGAGGTGGACGGCCAGGTGGCACGTCAGCCGAGGCAGCTGGTCCCCCTGGAGGCTATTCAGGGAGAAGGGGGTCAGGCCTGTGCCTCCTCCCCAGCCGGGGGTGCTTTCGGAGCACACAGGGCCCGCCAAGGCCCTGCTCTTCCTGGGCCCGCTCCAGGCGTCAGCTGACACGAGTCCGTCCCCCACCCCCCCGCCCCCCGCCACCGCCCCCCCCCCCACCCCCTCGCTGAGCTGTGTGGGCCCCTGTGCTGGAAGCCCCCAGTTTCAGAACTATGCGTCCCAGCCCTTATGGGCGGGTCTCGGCCCACAGCCAGGTAGGAACCCACCTTTTCTCTTTCTTAAGTTAATTCATTTTGCACAAAACTCCCTAACAACCAAAATGTGTAAACTGTTCGCTGGTTCCAAAACGGAGGTGGCCGCATGGGTGGGGCGGCACCTGAAGCCCCGAGTCCCTTCCCTGTCCGTGGAAGGCCTCGGTTTTCTGTGGCGGCCTTCCCAGGCCCTCCTGCCGGTCCCCAGCCACGTAACGGCTTTTCCCCCCTTCTGAGCAAGCGCGTAGGCCCCGTGACCCCAGAAATGCGTGCTCCCAGGCCCCTAGGGCGCATCTATTGTACACGTATAAATACCTGTGTTTTATGTTGATAGAGATATATACTGTAAATAGCATATATACTTGAGCAATATATATGTTAATATATACCGTGTGGGCACGCACACGCGTGTGTGTGCGGTGTGTGGACACAGACCCCACAGTGTGCACGCGTGGGCATGAGGGCCTCGCCTGCCGCATCTGCCATGCACACAGGCACATTGGAGCCACCGTGTGCTTTCGGTTCGAGTAGATGGGCAGTACACCTTTGGGAGAAGCCGGCCGGCCGCCTCAGCCCTGCCTGGAGAGAAAAACAAAACCAGCAGCTCAGGAGCTGAGCCCCAGGTCCGGGTGTCGAGGTTCCTCCCCCTTCTCCCCAGTCTCCCTGGAAAGTTGGATTCAGCTCCTTCCTGCACCCCCATCTCCACAGCTGAGACCCTGACACCTGTGTATCCGGAAGGTGGTAGAGCAGAGAGAGGAGGTGGGCAGGACCTCTTGCTTTCCAACAGACCAGTCCCCTTGCCGCTGCCCCTGACCTGGAGGCCCGGCCCGCCGGGTGGTCGCCCGAGGCTCTGTCCAAGCCCTCACCCCTTGCATGACTGGTTTTATGCTAACTCACCCACTTTTTTTCACCTACAAGTTTAGAAACCTCAGGCTCTCTTTCCTGGTCTCCTGGGTGCTGGCCCCGTCTAAGAAAGGACCTGAGTGAGCCCTTGATGCTGTGTCCAGGGAGGGGACGAGGCAGCTGCCGCCCGGGCCTGCGGAGTGCGGTGGCCCACGGGGGCCAGGGGCACGTCCTCTCGGGTCTGCGCGGTGTGTGCGTGCCTGTGGTTAGCAGAGCCAGTGGTTGGGTCTCCACAGCATTCGGGTGGGGGAGGGCAGGGAGCGAGTGCTTTTCCCACTGGTCAGCTGTCCCCCCATCTGCAGGTTTGCTGGGTGTGGGGGTCTCCAGACCCCAGGCCGTGCTCAAAGGGAGCACATGCCCAGACCCACCGGAGGTGGCCTGAGGAATGTGCCCCGTCAGGGTTGGGGATTTCTCGGCTCTGGCTGGGGGCGGGCATGCAGCGGGGTGGGGCGGAGCAGACAAGGTAGGCCCTGTGTCTCTGCTTCAGTGCCACTCCCTGTGAAGAGCTTGAACCATCTAAATGCCACCGTTGCCCCTTGCCCACCCCTCCCCCTACACCACGGAGTGGGGAGAGAGGGGTGTCATGACCACCCCCTCCCCCCTCAGCCCCAGTTGTAAAAAATCTGCCTCTGCTCCATCCTCAGCCTGGACTCCCCTGGTTCCCAGGAAACTCCTGCCTCCTCAGCCCCCAGCCCTGACCCCACAAAGATGGGCAGTGCCCACTCTGTACCTCCTTCCTCCCCGGGGGTCTCCAGAGCCCCGCAAGAGGTGCCTCCTGGGCCACTGCCCTCAGCCCAGGGCGCACACGCCCGCTGGACAGGCACACAGACTTCCCCGCCCCAAGATCCTGGGGGGCGGAGCCCCCGAGCACCAGCAGGCGCACGCACCCCCCCCCCCCCCCTGCCCCACAACCTCTAGGCCACAGGCCCCGGGCAGGCAGGGAGGGATCCAGGTGGCCTAGAGCTGCCCACTGCCCCATCCCCGGCAGGGCCCCTGGCCTCAGGGACCAGTGTGGTGTCCCAAAGACGGGGTGGTCTGGCGAGGCTTGTCGGCTCTGAGGTGCCAGAATGCCATAGAGGTCGGAGCAGCTGGGAAGGGCCAGACCCGTTTCAAGGCAAGGGTACCCTGTGCCTGATAATCAGAGATGAACCCATCTACCCACCACCTGCTCCTCCTGGCCCCACTTCGCAGGAAGACCTTTTAGGAGACCCACAGTCACCCTGGGCCGCCCTTCTGAGCCTCTGGATCTGGGTGTGGGGATGGCGAGGGCCCTTCTCAGCCCCAGCTAAGGGAAGAGACCTTGGGGACGTCCAGCCCTGAGCAATGACTGATGCCACTTCCTCGGTCAACACTGGGCGGCGGGGGGGTGGGGGGGGGCACCCCCAACATATCTGTGCCACTGGGAAACGGCTGGGGAGCAGCCAGCCACCACTGGCCCTGCCCCTAGGAAGTGGGGTTGGTGTTGGCGTAAGAGGAGCTTGGGGAGGTCCTGGCTACCGAGCTGAGGGAGGGGCTGGGCCTAGAGTGGGCAGTGGCCCTTTGTTCAGAGAGGCCGCCTGGGAGGGGGGCCCCCCAAGGTGGCTGACGGAAGGCAGGCTTGGGGAGAGGGGTTCCGGGTTGTCGAGACGGGGGATGAGCCCGGGTGTGGCTGGGTCTCAGCGCTCACCCCAGCTAGGTTTTTTTTTTTTTCTTTTTTAAATTAGAGGCAGCCAAAGGACAACCTTAATTCTCTCTCACAGCTTTGCAGAGGTGATGGGGGGACGCCACAGGTGGGTGGTGGCCTTCGGCTTCAACATGCGCACACTCCTGGGAAGTCTGCCGTGTTGGGGAGGGAAGACTGCGCCTGCGGTGCTGGGGGCCGAGGGCACCAGGAGTGGCCGAGGGGGGAAGAGGCAGTGGAAGCTGCAGCCCAGCACCCAATGGCAGCTGGGCAGTGAGGGAGTTTGTGGCCCCCGGTTCAAGGGGTTGGGAGGCTGAGAGTCAGGACACTGTTCTGTGCGTGGCCACACGTGTTTGTTGTTACACACCGTGTGTATGTGCTGTGGCATACACATGCACGGGTGTGTAGGAGCACGTGTGTGCAGAGTTCAAAGCTGAGATGAGAGGCTGGCTCAGTCAGTGTTTGGAGGCCTAGGTAGCATTCTCACCTGTGGGCCACGCGTCGTCAAGGGTGAGGTGGGCAGGTGGTGGCAGGCCCGGGAGGACTGCCCCAGTGCACTTGACTTTGTTAAGACTGCTCTGAGGTTGGGGCAGGGGGTCCCCTGCAGGGCCGTGTCCACACAGCCAGCCTGAAAGCCTAGACCAGCTGAGCCAACTCCTCAGAGACATGCGGTCCTGAGGCCGGTATTCACAGGGAGCGGTGGGGGGTGCCCGCGCCCCTCACCTGCCGGAGCCCCTCTGGGAAGAGTGTCCAGCAGAGTTGGAGACCAGGAGGCCAGAGGAGGGGAAAAATGAAAAACTGGCCCAATTTGGGTCCCAAGATGGAAACCAGGTGGTCTGGGAAGAACTGAGCAGGGTTGGCTCCAAAACCGGGCTGGGGGGCCCTTAACACAAGACCCCAAAACCCTCCCCACACTCGATGCCAAAACCATTTCCGTTATCCTGCGATGGGGGCGAGCGGACGTCGCGCACGCAGTGGGGCTCCGAGGGGCCTCGTCGCGGGAGCGAGCCCTCGCCGGGGCGCGGGGCGCGCCCGGTCACCAGCAGCAGCAGCAGTGGCGCCTCCACCCGGCCCTGGGTGAGGGGAGAGCCGAGCAGCCCGCCCCCGGGGCCCCTCACGCTTATTTTCTTTGTTGAAGAAACAAAACCCTCGAGATTCATGTACTGTATGACAGAGAGAAAAAGTACCTAATGTTCCCCCCAAAAGACAGTATATTTTGTACTTTGTAAAGTGTTCATTAAAATGGAGGAGAAAACGTCGTCAGCTGCGAGCCGTGTGATTTTGTTCCGCCCAGCGCCCCCTCATCTCCCCGTTCTCCACACTGGGCTTGGGGAGCACGGGCCGGGGGCCAGGGGGCAGTGAGGGAGACAGGAGAGCCTTCCAGCCCGACATCGAGAATCGGGGGGAGCAGCCCCCAGAGTGAGGGGCTGCGTTAGTCAGCAGAGGCTGTGGAGCAAGTTTTCCCGAAACGTAATGGCTTGAAAGTTCTGCTCACGGGTCACGGTGTCTGTGGGCGGGGAACTCGGGAGCCGCTAGGGCAGTCGTGGCCCAGAGCCACTCACGAGGCTGCAGTCAGCTGAAGTCTCGGCTGGGGCTGGAGGGTCCACGTCCAAGGTGGTGCATCCACACGGCCGTCGGCAGGAGGCCTCCGGCCCTCCCCACATGGACCTCCCCCCGCAGTGCTGTGCCAGTGTCCTCCCACTGTGGTGCCTGGCTCCCCTCAGAGCCCAACATACACGAGCCAAGGTCAAAGCCAAAGTTGGCTCTCCTAGCCTCAGAATCTATGCACCATTACCACCATGCTCCCAGCTGATCTGACACAGGAGCAGACCACACAAGGGCCAGAAAACCAAAAGGCCACGGTCCCTGGGGCCACCTTGGAAACTGGCTGCAACACCTGTCATTCCCCCTCAAGCCTCTGGCAGAGGGAGGCCTGGGTGTCAGGCAGGGCAGGGCCTTGCTGGTGCTGGGGAGGATCGGCGTCCACAAGTGCTCTGACCTTTGACTCTTGCCCTCTGGGCAGGTGGGCACTGTGACCGCCCAGGTGAGAGAGACAAGCCTGAGACCAGCAGGTCCTGGAACTCGGACACACTTCGCCCTGCCCCTTGCTGATGTTTTCCATGGAGGGCAGGTGTGAGCAGGGCAAGGTTGTGCCTGCACTTGGCCCCACCAACCCTATCCCCACCCTGCCTCACCCCTGCCTGCAGGAGAAGCAGCACTGGAGATGGGAGTGAAATGGGGGCCAAAGCACTGTCACCACCCTGAGCCCAAGAAAGTTCTGGCTACTGTGAAGGCTTTTCTCTCTGGTGTCCGCAGGGGATAAGGA